GCGGCGACGCCAAGACGGGGTGCAGCTGCGACAAGAGGTTGCTGTCGGGGCGCACGCCGCGCAGCAGCAGCTCCTCCTCCCACGTGATGCATGACGCGCGCAGCCGTTGGTGCCTCGCTTCCTCTGGAGGCTGCTGTGAAAACATGAAGGTACCTCCACTTCCCTATTCGTTATATGTACGCCTTGCTCCCACTTTTCTTGTTCTGCTCCCTAGCTCTACTTCCACGCGCAAAAGAATGCAAACACGGAGAACAGGAGAGCTGGAGGCTGCGGCATTCTTGCACAGAGGGGGCACCGGCAAGATACAGGCAGAAGGAGCAGCAACAGAAACCCCTTCCGTTGCGGATGGGACTGTGTGAAGTAACATGCGCGCTGTACATGGAAGTCAAACAAACCAGAAAACCAAAAAAAAAAAGCGTTGCTGAAGAGATGGAGCCCGCCGTCAGTCCTCATCCTCCTCATCCTCCTCTGCCTCCTCAGCCTTTGCCCGTCGTCTTGCCTCCCGGCGCCGCTCCTTCTCGAGCCGCCGCTTCTCTTTTCGTTGTGCCTCATCGTACTCACGCATCAACTCATTGCGCCGCACAACGGCGTTTTGGAGACAAGCCTCCCACTTTCTCATGGAGCTTCCTGTTGCTATAAGGCGAGGCGCATCCGCCACCTCATCCGAGATTCGCACTACCTTACCTTGTACAAAAAACATCATGCAGGGCGTGCTGCGGACCTCAAGAAAGCTCAACAGCTCCAGCAAATTATCGTACGCTTGTTTATGCAACTGCTTCTTCTGCAGCTCCGTTGGCGGGCGGTTGGTGGCGAGAAAAACTGGATCCTTCTTGAGCAGACTGGCAATGTCCGTCTTTTCCTCAGCCACCAGCGCCACATGGAAGTAGCGCACACGCCGGGCCTGCGGCAGCTCCGAGGCGACGAGACGCTCTTTTACGAGAGGCAGCATCTTTGCGCTAAACGGACAAAGGAAGGACGTGACGATCAGTGCACACAAACACTCCTGCTCCACTGCGATCGTCTCCTGGAATTCCTCCGCACAACGAAGCTGGACGAACCGCTTGTCCACTTCGTCCACGGAGGACTGCTCGCTATCTCGCTCCTCCTCGAACATGTTGCGCCCCACTTCCGGTTGGTGCGAGCAAAGTCTCTATACCACTAGCACACCCAGAAGGGAAACGAAGACGGATGACAGGCCGCGCTCTCGCCCACCGCAACTTTACTTACCTACGCACCGTCAGTTGTTGTGTTATGGGCACACGCAAAACAGCAAAAAGGAAAAAAAAAACCACACATCCACACGCTTACATGGGGGAGATAACGCCACAGAGGCAGCCGCAATACCATTCGCAGGACCGCAGAACTTTATATAACACTTGCCTTTTAGTCTCCTCAAAGTTACACGCATTCTTTTCCTTTGCATCTCCCGTCTTAATCCCCGCGACAGTGGGGATGAGCGAGACACACCTACAGCCACACACACACACACACACAGATAGAGAGAGACAGACTGTTGACAAGAGGTTCATACACGCAATTGGCACCGGCTTTACCCATTCTCGCCTCCTTCTTCTTCTTTTAGAAACGCGGACGTCGCTTCCTCATGGTGTACTTGGTGTCTTCCGTTGTCGGCATGCCGAACTTTCGCCGCTCCGACTTCTTGAGCAGCACCCATTCCTTTGTGCCAGTGACTGGGCGATTGTCGCGGCGCCGCCGTTTGTTTGCGGGCCCACCGGCGTGTGAGCGAGGGCGTTTGTGTGGTACGCGGCCGCCCACACGCGCCTGTAAACGCTCGTCTTCCTCGTCCTCCTCCTCTTCATCCTCTTCGTCCACTAATTCGTCCTCTTCATCGCCATCGCTGGCGTACGTGACGAGTGGCGGTGGCGGCACAAACCCGCCTGCAATCTGACCGGCCTGCACCACCAGGTAATGCTTTTTCGCCTTGGTGCTGTGCGGGAAGTCCACGACGACGCCGCCGGTAAGACCACACAGCATGGCAGCTCGCGTGATCATGTGGACCTGCTCGACACCGCTCGGGTAGAACTGCAAGGCCGCCTTAGCGCCGCGGCGTAGCGCATTGTAGAGGCACTGAAAAAGCGCGCGCAGCCGGCGCTGCGGCACGTGGCCACGGCAGTCGCTCTGGCAGAGCCACTGCAGCGCCGATATCGACACGGCACCGTCAAAGGAGCCAGGGCGGAACGGCAGGCCTTGGCCCATGTCGCCGCGCAACACCTCCACCATCGACGGCCCCGGCAAAACACTGTCGCCTTCCTCCTGTTGCTCTTCATCCTCGTCGCTGTCCTCGTCGTTGTCGGTGATGAGGCCCCACTTGACGTTCTGCAGGCCTTCCGGCAGTTTACGCCCACTACCTTCGTCCTTCTCCTCACTGTCCGCTTCTCTCTCTTCCATAGACTTGGCGAGCGCCAACATGTCGCCGCTGATATCCACACCGATCCACGTGTGGCCGTGCTCGCGCAACACGTCGCCACTGATGCCACTTCCACAGCCAATGTCCAGCAGCAGCGCCGGGTGGCCGTCCGGAAGGCCCAGCAGCTCCAGCGCCCGCAGCGTCATAGTCCGCTGGACTGCCTGCACACGCGTGCTGCTATTGTAACGGGCAGCACCGGTGTTGTTGTAGAGAACATCCGGTGGATTCTCAAGCTCCGGGCGTGGCGGTGGCATACGAATGCGACTAAAACAGCAATAGGGATATCGCCTACACCTAAGCAAGAGGGCGCGCGCGCACACACACACCCACGCACACACCGCAGACGTGGATGGAGAAAAAAGACAAGCAGTAAAAAGAATCCTGGCACACCACGCATCTCTCTCTGCTCATCCTGTCAAGAGGGAAAAAAAACGACATATCAACGATTTTTTTTTGCAGTTATAGGCGGGCGACCTGTTGATTATCCACTCTTCTCTTGCTTCTACAGCAATATTTCTTTTTCATTTCGTATCTTTGCGAAGGACATAATAAGCACAGGAACAAAAACGAAGATATTACGGTGATTCTCTCCCTCTCCTGTGTGTGGCTCTATGCGGGGCGTCCGCCAATAAAAATGTGACAGTACGGCGCAGCGGAGCTATTGAAGGCAAAGAGATACCACCCACGTCGATCCACATGTTTTCTTTCTTACTTCAGCTTTTTTTTTTCGTTCGATGTTAGCGCCCTTTTTTTTTTTTGGTTTCTTTTTCTTCTTCCTCTCCCCCATCTTCTTTCAGTTTGCTTCGATCATAACCCCGTCCCTTCTTTCTACCCACAGCGCTTATTAATACTTACATTTCATCATCTTTTCGTTTTTTTTTCCTTTTCCTTTTTTTGTTTTTTGTTTTTTTTTTGTGGAGGGGGAGGGGTGTGTGTGTGTGTCTTCCTCCCTTCGCTGCCTCCGACCCCGTTGCGGCGCGGCTCTCCCCGCGACACGCGTGACGCCCCTTCAGTTGCGCCACTCCGCCGCTGCACGACTGTGTGTTTGGCCGCGCGGCACCCCACACACCACTCCAAGCTGCGCCAACAGCAGCCGATGCGTTGCGCACACAAAAGACACAAGTGACATTGTTTGGGCCTATTTTTCTTTTGCACTTCATTTCGTTTTCTTTTTTTTTTTGCTTGTTTGGGCCCTGCAGAGAAATATCTCGCTTTCTGTTTCGCATAGGCGCCAAACACTTCGTACGACAAGCTCCACTGCCAAGAGAAATTTCTCCTGCCGTGGAAACAGATACAAACAGGGCACCGTGTCTGCGTGAAGCGCTTACCATACATTTATTTTCATTTCACATCAGTTTCATTTCCTTTTTTTTTTCCACGTGGAATACGATTTGCGTTCTTTATCGTGTTGGTGCGCAGATATGGGAGGCGAAGGCGGTGAAGGGAGGAAGCACGAGACGTGCCGGTTGGCAACAGTACAACCGACGATCAGACAGTTGCAGAAGACCGCTCCTTTTCGCTTTGCTTTGGTTGCTCTGCGTCCCCTCAGGAATTGGCTCCAACCACCACCGACGGCTCTCTTCGTTTGCCCCCCCCCTTCTCTCGTCGCCGCCGCGCCGCACCCCACAGCCATAGATTGCCGGGGAAAGTAAGAGGGATGCGGTCGTGCGTGACGAGAGTGAAAAATAAAACAGCAATGAGAATCTGCGAGACATGAAGAAGTCAACAGTCACAGCTGAATGCGCACAGCAGCACCTTCCACCTTGCTTTCATTCATTCATTCAATCATTTGCTACTTTTCATCCCTTTAAAGTGGGCATCAACCAGGACAACAAGACAATAGTCAAGTGAGCAACGAGGCCCCTCTGTCTCTCCAAGTTGGTGCTGAGCACTCCTGGTGTTCCTCCCACTGCTGCTGCTCCTGCTGCAAGCCTCTCGGGTCTCACCCCCCCTCATGTGCTCGCATTCACACCCGTTTGCTTTATGTGTATCAGAACGGGGCCTTCGCCTTTTTCTTTTCCACCCGTCGTTTTTTTAATTATTTTAAACTCATTTCGATCCTATTCTTGCTGCGACGTTGTGTTGACAACACAAACGTGGCGGAGGGGGTTGTTGGAGAGGCGCCGCCTCAGACTGGCGCATGGCTGAACGGGCCTCATCCGTCACGGCGTCAAGACGAGAATAAAACAAAACAACATCAAAACAATAGCGGAATCAAGGCAACGCAAGCTATGACGGTAAAATATTGCGAGGAGGAAAAGGCACACGCCACACGCGAAGAAAAAACAAAAACAAAAAGGGGTCAAATGAGAGACATCACACACACACACACACACACACAAAAGCGCACAACGGCGACGGGTGGGAGGAACGAAGAAAGAAAGAAAAAAAAAA